CACAATATCTCGCTTTCCTCAGCAGGATTGCAATGAGGCATAAGATGGATCGTCATGATTCTGGAATGTATTATGCTTAGGGTGATACTTCCGATTCTGATCTTGACTCAGATCTAAAGCCTGAACCCAAAGCTCAAGCTTTTATAACTAAACCAATTGATAAAAATACTTCTACATCTGAAATTGAGGATATCTAGATTAGTGATATAATTAGTTATTAATCGTCAGATGCAATATGTTTACTAACCACGCTTCTTCACTTTCACCACATTCACAGTAAAATCTTTATCATAGTTGCCGGGGGTAATCACTTTGTAGCTAGACGATTCAAAGTCAGACTCAGACTCAGATTCAGATGAAGACGAGGATTCGGATGAAGATGCTGTATCGTTTAAAATTTTCTTTTTTCTTTTAGCCTTGCATGGTGTATGATTTCTTCGAGGAATACCCGAGTTTGTTATCGAGTTTATAATATCTTGCTGAATCTCAGGTTTCACTATCTCCAGTAATCGGTGAAGAGAGATCCAGATTTTTTTATCTAATACTTGCCTACGAATACTGGATATTACCCCAATAGTATTCTGTTGCTCTGTTATAGACTTGGTTACTGTTTCGATACATTCACGTAATTCTTGAGACAAGATAGCATTAGCCATGTCAGCTCTGCTGATATTATTTTTAACAATTGCTTCGTCGTTTATCACAGACTTGATGTCAGTTTCAGTCATTGTAAATGTGAATTATTATTTATTAATACGAATTTAAAAATGCAGAATTAAATATATTTTAACCATAGAAGATAGCATGACAATATTGGGAATGGTTCATAAAATAAACCCCTCTTTCCGGTCTAAAGATAATAAATGAAAACAGGTAGAAGTTAATGATATTTTAGTTCCTAATAAACCCGAATTTGCACATGTATTGTTATTAGGTTCACCATGGATCCAGGCAAATATCTCGGAAATGAATTTTCCCAATCATACTCTCACATTGCTTGATGGGACCGATATATTATTGGATGTCGCACGAGAGCTCCCACCGCCAAAACAAATATCCATACCAGTAAAAGAATATTATAAGATGGTGAAATATTACATAACAGTATTGGGTGTAAATAATAACGAAATATACCTTAAGGAACACTTCCTCCGTGGATTGTCTCGTGATAACCAGTTAGAAGCCAGCAGATGTAGAACAGGCTTGTCATTAGATGAGCTAGTAGAGAAACTGAGTAAAATTGAGAATGTTACAACTATATAATAAATATCAATTATTTACCGCAATAGCGAATTCCCATATTTTACGAATTCGTGCATATTTTTTAGCTAGATTCAGTAATGCATTTGCTGAACCCTTGGCAGTAATTGTATCGCTAATTGCTTCGGGTGATAAGCGTGTAGCACCTGATCTTAATTTTCTAATCATTTATATACGCAGAAATTAAAACTATATTAGATATATATATATGAAATAAGTAGCAAATATATAATGAGTTATACCAGAGTGCGAGACAGGTTAAGTGAATATGGTGAAAATTATATCGCTAACAATATTAAAACGTCAGAAGCATGGTTACGGTTTGCAAAATATTATCCACCAAAATACATACGCAAACGTTTATTAAAACCAGGATATGAAATAGATAGTAGAGATTACTGGAAAAATTTTGTATTTCGTATCAAAAATAATTTGACCAGCCATAAGCAAATAGGTAATGACCCTAATTATAGGGATTTTAAAGTACAATTAGCATTATATAGAAAAAATCACGCGTCACTAATTATCCAGCAAACATATCATTTATGGAGAAAACAAATTAATTCCGCTAAAATAATCCAGCATGCAGTAATTGAGTGGCTCTATCGACCAGGTGGATCATTTATGAAGCAAGCCAAAGATCGATATTATTGCGTTGCAATGGGTCATTGTAAATGTTAAATTGTTTTATTAATACGGATTTAAAAGCGCGCCTAAATTAATTATCTGAAAATTTACTTATTTTTTCGATTGAATATATAATATATACAACTTGAGAATGATACAACTATTGCGGAGCAATGACCCAAAGGGTCTAAATATTTTTGATTTACCAGAGTTACTAGAACAGATCTTATATTATTTAGAAATTGAACGATCCCTCTATCCCACTTTGTTTGTCAACCACTTTTGGTATCACTGTGGTGCTCCTATTCTATGGCGAGATATTGATTTTTTCATAGATTGTCAAGGAAACACATATAATAACAATTCATCTGGAGATCTTTATTGGCAATTAAGAAAATTTAAAAGAGTTATGTGTGGAAAGATAAAGCCACTCTATTGTTCAAAGATGGTATATCTCAAATTGACGGGTTTAAAAATCTCAGATGAATTACTCAGTGCAATTCTGCATTCATGCCCAGATATACGCTTCCTTATTCTTAATCGAAGTTATGGTTTTACTAATATACCAATTATAGAAATTGCAAAATTTTGTCCGAAATTAATACACTTAGGCCTTAATTCATGCAAATGTCTCACTGATCGATGTATCACTGAAATTGCTCGCTCATGCCCAAAACTTAGACATCTTGAGCTCGGCAACTGTTTGATTGGTAATAAAGCTGTCGAGGAAATAGTCCGTAGCTGTACTAATTTGAAATATCTTAGTTTGAAGGGATGTAAAAGGATTAATGAAGAAGTGATAAAAAAACTTGATCCAAAATTAAAATCGAATATCCCGATTATTCGGATAAAAAATGGCCCAATTCTGATCTACCTCTACCTATTCCAATGTTTACCAGTACATTATTAGATGAAACAGATTTAGATTTAATTTCTTTGCTCAGTAATTGTATCAGAGAGATTGGCGGGATTAATCTTAATTCAGCATGGTATACAAATAATTTTATTTAGTAGTGGAGAATGGGTAGACCCTTCGGGTCATGCCTCAAAGAGGCGCCTCTGGCCTGCTTTGCAATAATTATTTACTGAGTTATTTTTTCGGTTATAGTATACATCATAATATAATATCGCAGGGAGCGCATTATTCTGCTATAGAAAAATAGGGCGAGTAATCGGGTATTCGACAGCCTCCAGCTAATTTCAAACAAAGAATTTTTTATTTGCCGTGATGTATATATATCTGTGATAATTTTCCTTGTTTTATTGCAAAGCTATGGTTCTCCGAACCTACTTTTGATTTTAGACATGGGCACTGATTGGTGCTAGTATAATTTTTTACGAAAATTTCGTGTAATTGTTGAGGAGAAACATTCGGAAATAATGGAAGCCCCTCTCCAGTAAAATAAAACATTTTAACCCCCTTGTCGATGAATTTCTGTATTAACACGCTTGGAATGTCTTCTAAGGGACCATGAAATTCTTCAAACTTTCGGAGGTACACCCTCGCATTTTTATCGGCTTCTTCTGCCATTTC